AACAAAGGTCCCCCACTTATCCTGCCTCCTGCATCCCCAGTCAAGCCCTGAACCCACTCCCCGCGCCCCCGCCACACTCCTGGCAAGAGCTCAGATGACACTTGCAGTGAACAAGGCTCAGAAATGACAGAAGAAACTCTCAGTCCTCTGCAAAATCCCTCCCTCTTTGGTACTGTGTGGCCAAGAGGTACACCTCTGCCGACTCCTTCCTGCTGGCTCTGGGTTTCACTGTCCTGGTGTTCTGGAACTGGCCTGTCAGTCGCTTCCGTAATGCCAGGCTCTGACTTCCAGCCCACGTTTTGCAGAGGAATGTTCCGCCGGGCTCCAGGACATCTGGAGCGAGGTCCAGAAGGGACAAGCACAGGCCAATGAGCCTGTCGTGATCCAGGCTGCGGATCCCCGTGGCATTGGGTGCCATGTCACTCAGAATCACATCTGCTCTCCCTCCAGGAAGCAGTTCTCGGATTTTCTGGAGGGTTCTTGGGTCAGTCACATCAGCGGGGCACAGGAAAGTTGCTCCTTCCAGGGGGAATACGTGAAGAAGATCGACCCCAAGCACAAAGCCAATGGGAGCACTGGGATCTAAAGAAGAGAGAGGGAGTCCATTACTTACATCCTGAACCATCCCTCAGAAATACAAAGAGAAAAACGGAAATAAAAGGTCAGGAGGTCAGGACAAAGGACAGGAGCAAACTCGAGAGAGTAGACACAAGGCCCATCCCCAGCTCTCTCCGTCTACACAGACACAGCGCAAGGAGAGGCGGTCCTCAATCCGCACGGGAGGAATCTGGGGCCCAGAGAAGAGCACCTGTCCCAGAGCACAGGACGTCATGTCACCTCCTGGGGCCTGCTCGCTGTGAGAGGTCTTAACTGAGTGGCCATTCTGACAAGCCAGGACAGAACAGGACCCACTAATACATCTACTACCTCTGCAGTCAACACGTCCGCTCTCCAGCTTAACCCAACTGCTTTCAATGCAGAAGCTACCAGAAACGAGCCAAGAAAGGGGTACAGAGACAGGCAGAAGACAAGGTACAGAACCCGACCCCTCACACAGGTTTCAGTGGCACCCATGGCGCAGTAAAGATGCCACTGTTTCACTCACCCCGAGCAGGACCCCCTCCTGCCTGCGGGACAGCGGCCCCCAGACGCAGGGCTCCCCCCTCACGGCACAGGTGTCCCCGTCCGAGGCCCTCCCCCACACCAGGGAGGGCCCCCACTCTGCCAGCACCCACGGGGAGCGGGGGGCACCAGTTCAGGGTGCGTCATAGACTTGCTGGTTCCGTCTGCTTAGCAGAGGCTGTTCCATGGCGGGGTAACGTGTATTTTACTTTATGTAAAGACTGGAAGTCAGGTACTCTGTAGAGTACATGTTTCAAAGGAGAAAATACCATTCTCATCCCTGGAAAGGAGGACATCCTACATCTCATATCCCATGTGTTATAACCTGATGGGGAGGGGTCCACTAGAGACAAATAGCTTGGGATGCATTCTCACAACTTCTGGGAGGAAAAGAAACCCAATCATTTTACCCACAGTTTGCCTCTGCCACGTCTTCCTGCAGGTTAAACTTGGCCATCTTCATCCTTCTCCTGAAGAGCATTTACGGGGATGGGAAGCACTGAAATCACTTGTTGGATCTATGGGTAGGCTCAGTGGTAGGAAAAGGAACTGAAGTCTCTGACACAAATTCCTTCACTCAGGCAATATTTATTGAGCTAAAAACATTTTTCCCACCTGTTCTAGAGCCCCTGCAGGCATCCCATCCACAGTAACGAGGCTGGATCTTAGATGTGAATGCAGGGAGCGGCACTTCCAGCCTCTGCTTTCAGCAGACCAGCAAATTCCTCTGAACCCCATTCTTCAGTAGGACAATGGGCACATGCCCTCACTCTGCGTGTCACAGCGGCCCTTGTGAATCGGCCTAGTTCACGGAATGCCAGGGATGGTGGCAGCCTCCGATTTTACAGCAGGAAAGAGAGGGAGGGACACACACTAGCAGAAGACCTGGGAGGCACGCTGGTGCCCAAGAGGAGGCTGGCCAAGCGGCACCGGACAGCGGTCTTCTGGAGCTCTGTACAAGCATTTGAAGGGACAACGTGGTTTTCTAAACTGAGGGTACAGGATCCCCGTTGATCAGCCAGGGGAGCCATTTTCATATAGAAAATCTTTGACAAAATCCTAAAATAAAAAACGGCAACAGCGGAGTCTCTCAGGCCAAGCTGGAGGGGAAAACCCAGAGCTTCAGCGGCGGGTGCTCCTAGAGCAGCCCCAGCGGGACTGTGGGGACCCCCTGGGCTTCGAGGACCAGGACCTGGGAACCCCTGGGGTTGATTCAGCTGTACTGTCGCAGAAAGATGTTAGTGTATCAGTAGGTGAAAAAACCCAGCTCCGTTAAGGCTCCAAATCAGCAAGATTGTGGATGTGGGATACTAGCATTTTTTGAAAAGAAAACATACATATATAGTTATGTGTGCAAAAGCAAACCCTGGAAGAGGGCACGCCGACGTGCTGATGTATGCACAGATATGGTGCGATTTAAGGTGTTTTAAACCTGCACTAGAGCCTTCTACCGTGTCCGTTATTTCAAAAACATCAGTGTTCCACTTTCACCCTTCTTACTACCAAACAAGCCACCAAGTGGCTTGGCCACCCAGAATTCTCTGGTGGAGGGCAGCTGGCTCACGCCTGCTGACCCAGGGTGGTCAGGGGCCTTACCTATGCCCACAGCATTGACCCTCTGGACAGCCACCTGGCTCCACGCCCCGGGGGCTGCCCCACAGTCTAACACCCGGAGGCCAGGCCGCAGGATCCTGTGCCTGTCGTCCACCTCCAGGAGCTTGAAGGCACTTCGGCACCGGTAACTCTCCACCTTCGCAGCCTTCACGAATGGGTCCTTAAAATGGCGCATCAGCCACAGGTGCTCAGCCCCGGTGCGACCCTTGTAGTGACTCCCGGCAACATGAAACCTTTGACACCGAAGGGTCGCACCTATCAGCTTCCAGAACCTGATGGAGAAAAAGGGAGCAAATGGGCTGGCGTCACACGGACAGGAGGCTCCCTGGTTCAACCCACATGTTTTTAGAGACGGTGCCTGCAGCCTGAGGGGGGAGGATACTTGGCAAGCTACCCAGCCCAAAAGCAGGTGGAATGGGGTGAACTGAGTCCCTCCCCAAATTCATGTGTTAAAGTCCTAACCCCAGTACCTCAAAATAGAAATGATCTTTAAAGAGGTGGTTCAGTTAAAATGAGACCATACGGTAGGTCCAAATCCAGTATGATTGGTGTCTTCATCAAAAAAGGGACACATGTGCATATGGGAAAGACTGCAGGTGGAGACACAGAGAGAAGGAAGCCATCTACAGGCCAAGGAGAGGGGCCTCAGGAGAAACCAGCCCTGCCCACAGCTTGACCTGATCTGCAGCCCCCAACACTGGGAGGCGGAAGTCCATGCCGTTCCAGCTGCCCAGCCTGGGGTGCTTTCTCACAGCACCCAAGCAAGCGAGCACAGCAGTTGTCACCTTGTAGGAAAGAAGCGTCTTCCACTCGTGGACTTCAGAAGGAAGACTCGAACATCACTGAAAGTCACTTTGTGTCAACCAACGTTTTTCCAGCCCTGGTTAATACTACTGTTAATACCAACGACAGTAACTCCTCCTCACCCAGTACAACTTTCCCTTGGGCTCTGTGGGACTGCGAGAGAACCCCCAAGGACAGGCCCTGGCCTCACTTAGCTCCATGGTTGCAGAGGCCAACACAGGGCCTTACCGGTCACACCACCTTATGCAGCTTAACTCTACCTGTGTGACCAGGTGAAGGACCATTTCCAAGTCTCTTTGGCAAAGTCAAGTTTTTAACAGTTTATCGACTGCCAGGAGCTCCCCCGAAGTCCCCTCCTGATCTCACAGCACCACCCTACACACTAAATTCTGCATCCGCGTTTCTGATGGAAAGAGCCTACCGTCATCCCCATGGCTCCAGGCCAAAGCCCCCTCAACAACCGAAGCATGCTGGCAAGATCAGGACACACCAACTGCAACTGCTGCCTTCAAAGAGCGTAAGGGGTCTCCTGCGAGGAGCACAGAACAGTCCTGGGCCCCAGAACCAACTCCCACAATTGGGGGAAAGGCTGGAAACGAGTCACACCCACCTGGACCTGCAGATTTGACAGCTGACCTCCAGCGCCCACCCACGTCTGGGGTTCAGCACAATGGCCACTCGTGGGAGCCCTCACAGCCTTCAGACCTGATGTGCCCTTCGAAAGCTTCACCTCCACCTGCAGCGTCTCCTCACCTGCCCCCAACTCTTTCCCCACCCTCCACCCTCCACCGTCCCCCTCACCTGCCCTGTCCGCTCTCCCCACCCTACATCAGCAGCGCCCCCTCAACTGCCCCCAACTCTTTCCCCACCCTCCACCTGCAGCGCCCCCTCACCTGCCCCCTCCGCCCGCCCGCCGCTCCTTGGGAGCCGTCCCGAATACTGGCTCCGTATTGGAAGTCCGCTCCTAGGCACTTCGCCGGGGATGCCCGCGTCCGCGCCCCGTTTCCGCCGCCGGAACATGGGACGCGTCCCTGGCCGCTCCTCCTCCCTCACGCTTGCAACAGGCGCTCGGTAAATGCCGGCTGCGCGCACAGCCGCACCAACCTTCCAACCTCACTCACCGAGCCATAGGTGCAGACCCGCGGCGGCCGCCCGCGCCGGAAGTAGCGGCATCACTTCCGGCCATAGGCCACGCCCCCGGAAGCGGCGCCCGGTTTCCGAAAGCGCGCGCGGAACGCGGGCTGGAAGAGCAGGGACCCGAGAGCCTGGGAGCAGAGCCCGGGTCTGGTGAGCTGAGGAGAGGGGAAGGGGCGGGGGGCAGGGCCTAGAGATCGGGGACCTTGGGGGACTCGGGGGACCTGGGAGAGGGGAAGGGGTGGGCGGGGCCAGGTGATAACAGGACCGGGTAGAAGAGGGCAGGGCTCGGGGGACCTGGGGGGAGGGGGGCGGGGGGCGAGGTGAGCAGAGGTCGGAGGAGTGGATCCGGGACCGCCGCGGTCTCGCAGCCCGGAGACCTGATGTCCCAAGCCCCCGCGCTGTGTAAGGCCGGCCTGGGGCTCTGCGGATAGCGGATATCACCGTTTAGAGCCCTGGGAAGGGGCCTCCGTCTACAGTGACTAGACTGGGACCCCACGGCTAACAGATAGGGCCGCCCCGTCTGCGACAGCCTCCCAGCCCCTGACCTTAGGTAGGCTCTCCGAGGACCCCAGCGGCTTCTTCCGGTATCTGTGCACCAGCGGAGCTAGACCCAGACTGGGGCACCGAGTCTGCCCTTTGAGCCCACTCTGCCTCTCAGCTTCCACTTCTTCCTCTGGAAATGGAGAAAGCAAGTCATAGCTCACGGAGTTGTTGGGTTTGTTAAATGAATACTTTTTGAGACGCGCATAGTGAGTGCTTCCTAAGTGGTCGCTGACGCTCCCAGGATCCTCTCCGTCACCAACACAGTTCACTGGGAAGCCAGGGCTCTGGGTCGGAGCCCATGAGCATCACGACGAAGTACACAGGCATAGAGACCCACCCCCAACGCCAGGCCCAGCTGAAGGTGCCTTGGGGGACACGGGAACTTCCCAGAAGGATCCCTGCTCCTGCTGCTCATCCAGCATGGGCCCCAGCGGGGGAGACTTGTGTTCAGTGGGCCCCAGGCTGCGCTGGGGCTGCATGGACAGGGGACCTGCTCTTGGCTCTCCACCATGTCTCCAGCAGTCACCCAGACTTCACCCTGGGAGTTTTCCTCAGGACCGTGCTCCCCCACTAGAGCAGAAGGGGGCCCCTTGTTCCAGTACGAGATCCCAGAGCAGCAATGGTTGTCACAGGCTGGAGGGCGAACCAGCCTTCCTGGGGGGGCTCTGTGCCTTCAGGAGCTACGCACTCCCTGGGACTCTGCAGGTCAACTACTGCTAAGGGGCAGAAGGCAGATCCCCATAGGCCAGAAGAAGACCCCACTGGTGAAAAGGCCAGGGGCTAACCTGCATGGTGATGTTGGCACCCGGGGGTGGACCGCCCTCCAGCTTCTGTGCTGAGGCGGAGGAGTGGTTGACAAGGCCACCTCCTGCTGGGGGCCTGGCCACCGTTGCTGCCGGCTTCACAGGGCCAAGCCCCTTTCTAGCCCGGAAGCCCACTTGTTGTTCAGAGGTGAGCATGTGGGGGAGGGCTGGGAGATGACTTAGCAGGCTTCCCCTCCCTCCCTTCCATGGCACATTCCCATTTCACCCGGGCCCTGGCCTCCATCCCACCCCATCTGCACCCAGGTCAGGCTGACCCAGCCCTCTTGCCTTCCTCAGGGGCTCTCCAGGGGACCATGGGCACTTCCAGGCTCTACACCTTGGTGCTGGTGCTGCAGCCTCAGCGAGTGCTCCTGGGCATGAAGAAGAGAGGCTTCGGGGTCGGCCGCTGGAATGGCTTCGGGGGCAAAGTTCAAGACGGAGAGACCATCGAGGACGGGGCCAAAAGGTGAGGATAGGGTGGGCCTGACCACACCACCAGCTCCCGCGGGGATAGGCTGGAGCTCCTGAACTAGCCCTCAGGCCTCCGTTCTTTCGTCTGCGGAATGGGAATGACAGGAACATCTCCTGCCTCTCTCAAAGGGTGTGGAAGGGCGGCAAGTGCCGTGTATGTGCTCTGTGTTGCTTGGGACGCTGGGAGTGGGTTAAGGCTGCAGCTTCTTCTAGCTATGGGGCTGGTTCATCTCTGGGTGTCTCGGTCTGTTCAGGGGAGCCAATGACGAGCCTTTCTGTCTCAGCCTTTTCAAGCACATGCACACACTCTGAACAATCCTCAACACTTCCCAAGGGCGGGAAGCGAAGCCCAGAGAGGCCAAGCAGCTTGTCTGCGATCAAACAGCTCTCCGATTTCAAGCCTTTGCCCTTCTTTCTCCTCATAGGCGTGTGCAGATAAAATGAAATTGTGTGTAAATGTCACCAAGCACTACACAAGCCTTCGCCATTTGGATGTTATTTTGAAGAAAGCTGGCAACCTTAATTAAGGTCACTTTCCCTGGGCAGGGAACAGAGCCCCACATGCATACCAGTGAGGCTCCTGGAAGGGAAGAAGGCTGTAGGCACTACAGCCCAGTGGTTCTCGAGTTCAGGGTTTTCTAAACATGACAAACCATATAAGAAACGTCTAGTCCCTGAGCAGCAGTGCTCCCACCACGTAACGGGGCATGAACACATCTCCTGTCCTGTTCTTCTTCCTTTGATCGCTGGTCACCAAGCAGACTTCACGGTGCATGGCTGGCCCACAGCCCGGTGTGAAAAGCCATGGCTGCACTGTCCATGGCGTGCACCTCCCCATCTTGGGCCCAGGACCCGGCCCGCCGCAGGGGGTCATTGGTCTGGGCAAGTGCAAGGCCATGTGATCGATCCTGCCCAGGGAGGGCACAGCAGGGACAGAGCCCAGTCTGCTGACACTGGCATCTGGGCCTGTGAGCTGCCCCAGAGGTAGGCCGGGCTGCGGAAGAAATGGCATGGAATATGGACAACCGGGGGTGCCAGTGGTCTGTTCTGCCAACCACGCAAATGTCTTTGCTCTACTGAGACTGTTCACTGGGTCACCGATCTTTAGGGCTCTGCTCAGTGTCAGGACACAGGAAGAGGTCCCGACCCACCCTGCCGAGCTCTCATCTAGCCTGGCTGCCGGGTTCATGAGGACGTGTGTGGAGAGCGGGTCTAGTGGACACCCAGTAGTCTGGGGCATCCAGAATAAAGAGCCTGGGCAGATAACCAGGCAAAAGGGAAAATTCCCAAAGGACCTGACGTTTGGTCCGAGCAGATGGCAGGTGGAAAGTAGCACCCACAGATGCCCAGAGGCTGGAGGGGCAGGACCATGCAGAGGTGTGCACCGTGGGCCTTGTGGGTTGCAGACAGCTTCACCTCCATTCTTGCCGTCCTGGCGACAAGCAAGCAAGCTTCCAGGCCTCTGATTTCTTAGGGCCTTTCCCTCCTGCCCTCTCTATGTTCCGCATTTCCTGAACGAGACACATACGTAAGAAAGCCTCACTCACCCCAGATCCTCAGTACTGAGCGTGATGGTGGCTTTCCCGCAGGGCAGGTGTGGGATCAGGCAGGAAACGTGTCCTGGAGATGAAGCAGGACATGCTCTCTGTCCCCGGGATAGAATTTGAATCCCTCTCAGTCAGCCTCCCACTGCTGTCACACCCAGACCTCCCCTTCTCACCTGGACTCCCCGCTCTGCCCTCTCCCTCCTGAGTCCATTCTCCACACGACCCCCAGGCGGCCTTCCTGAAACTGCATCTGGGTCTCTGTCTCGCACTCATGCATGAGGTCCCTTTAAAGCGTCCAATACCATTAAACCAACCTCCTTTGTCACCCCTAGAGCCCCATTGGGTCCGGGCACACCCTTCTCCCGCCACTGCCCCTCAGATACCCCCAGCTCTGGCCGACCCGGCTTGTCCTCTCTCCTCGCCTGGCTGCCCGCCCACCACAGCCTTCCCATCTTGGCAGGTGACCCCGATGCCCCTCACAGTTAATGATTCCTTTCCCTGCCATCCCCACACCCCAAGGCTCCATGAACCACACTGGTCCTGAAGTCAGCCTACACCCATCTTCACCAGGAACACTTGAGAAATGGGCCCATCATGTGGCCGGCACAGTGATCAGAAGATGGAAAGGGCCACCTGTCCGCTGGCCTCTGTCACAGTCGAAGATTCGGTCTGTTCTAAAACGTCCCAAGAGTGCAGTGACGCGTGTGCGCCCTGGTGTGTGCCGCCAGGCGCCCCTGTGCATTTCTGCGGCTCACGCACCAGCTGTGACCGCCGTCTCTGTCCTGTGCATGGCCCCTGGCTGTTCCCAGGTGGCAGCCACCAGTGGCACCGCCATCAGCAGTCCCAGGTTACCCGTGCCATGTCAGCTTTCCTGATGGCTGCTCCCCAGGGCCGGGCATGCAGAGCCCCGGGTCCTGCTCACGAGTGCACTCGCCAGAGGCGCAAGAGCTCCTCTCCCTCCCAATCAGCAACAGGCACTTTCTCTGATTTCAGCTGCTCTGGAGTGACCCAGGTCTCCGTGAACTTGTGTTTGCCCCGAGGGCTTGAACTGGTGCGCCTGCTCCGTGTCCGCGGGCCACTTGGATGTCTGGTCTTTGTGAACTCTCCGCCCCAGTCTTGCCCATTTTTTAAAAACTGGGTTTTTTAAAAAAACTTTAAAAACTTTTTAAAAAACTTTTAAAAAACTTTTTAAAAGACTTTTTAAAAACTTTAAAAAAACAGTTTTAAAAAAAATCCGGGTTTTTAAAAAAAGACAGTTTTTAAAAACTGTCTTATTCTTAAGGATTTGCAGTTCTTTATACACTTTCACATCCGTACTGATTTCCTGCTTGACGTCTCGTACGAGGACGGTGAATTCATCTGTTTCTCCTTGGAGTTGTTAGTTTTTGCCTCCTGTCGTTTGACTCTCTTTTGAGGCACATGCGTGCATGTTAAAGACTGTATCGTGGAGAAACAGCCGCTTTACCCACACATAATACCCATCGTTATTCCCGATGCCTGAAATCCAGACGGATATTCCTGCTTTCGTTAGTTCACATGGTGTGTTTTTCTCCACTTACTTTTGATCTGTATTTTTTAATTTTTATCGTTTTATCCTTCATGCTTGTAATCTTTCTATCCAGCGTGGTTCCGTGCAGACAGGTGGTCTTGTTTTCTGATCCCCTCCGACCATCTGCCTTCCAGATGTGTGGTCCACTGATGTTCCAAGTGGAGACTCCTACGGTTGGGTTCATATCTGAACCCTTGTTCTGTGTTCCTGTTTTTGTCTTCCTCTCCTTTTCTTGGTTTTGTGGTGTTAACTGAGCACCTTCTAGGAGTCCATCCATCTCCTTTTTTAGCAGGTAAGCTCTCCTTATGTGACTGTTCTGCTACTTGCCCCAGAATTTACAGCTAATCCAGGCACTGTCCCGTCCCATGGGCAGTTTGCCTGCCTCCTGACAACAAACATCCCAATTCCAGCCCCCAGCCCTGTATCCTTGTGGTCGTTCCCTTTATGTAGGCGTGTGGGAGGTGCACACACAGGATAGGAGATACATCCTGTTACTTTGAGCAAATGGTTACCTGTTAACATCAGTTAAGAGTTAAAACTGTTTCACCTTGGGGAGCCTGGGTGGCTCAGTCCTTTCAGTGGTTAAGCTAACCGTCTGCCTTTGGCTCAGGTCATGATCTCAGGGTCCTGGGATAGAGTCCCATGTCAGGCTCCATGCTCAGCGGGGAGCCTGCTTCCGCCTCTGCCACTCTCCCCAGTTCATGCTCTCACTCTCTTGCTCTCTCTCAAATGAATAAAATCTTTCTTAAAAAAATTAAACTGTTTCATCTTGCCTTCACCTACTCCTTCCACGCTCTTACATTCTCTGTGCAGATGCGAGGTCTGATCTATCCCTTTCCTTCTAAGAATTTGCTCTCTATTTCTTAGCAGGCAAGTGTGCTGGTAATAGAGTCCCTCCACTTTTAAGAAAGTCTGTATTTCACCTTCCCTTTTGAAGGGAAGGAGAGTACAGAATTCTAGGCTGGTGGGTTTTGTTTCTTCTCCGAACTCTAGCTGGCCTACTCCCTGTCTTGCCCACCCTGCGTCTCAGGAGTCAGAGGTGAGTCCTACCCTGTTCCTGTCTGGGCAGGTGCTTTCTGCCTCTGGCTCCTTTCAGGATTCTTTTTTTATTTTATTTTTTAGATTTTATTTATTTGCTTTATCTTAGAGGGTGTGTATGTGAGTGGGGAGAGAGGCAGAGGGAGAGAGAGAGAGAATCCCAAGCAGACTCCACACTGAGCAAGGAGCCCAATGCGGGGCTCAGTCCCAGAACCCTGAGATCATGACCTGAGCTGGTCAAGAGTCAGGCACTCAGCCGACTGAGCCCCCAGGCGCCCTGGGTCTTTTATCTTTGATTTATTACACTTTGAAGGTAACATGTCTGACATTTGTCATGTTTGGTGTCTGCTGAGATCCAGGACCTGTAGTTTGGTGTCTGACATTAATTCGAGAACATTCCCAGTCATGTCTTTTTGTCCTTCTCTCTCTCCTCCGGCCAGTGTTTCCATTACACGTGGTTCCTGTTTCCTGGCTGTCCCACACCCTGGATATTTTGTTCGGTTTTTTCCGATCTTTGTTCTCTTTGCTGTTCTGTGTTGGGCCATTCTGTCGAGATGCCCTCTAGCTCACAGTCTTCCCGCGGCCACGTGCAGACCCCTGCAGGTGTCCTCTCCCGTGGCTTGCCTCTTTGTTCTTAATGATACTTCGATGAGCGCAAGTCTCCTCTTAATGGGATCCCGGGTACAGCTTTTTCTTTACAAGGCAGCATTTCTACATTCTTTTTTTTTTTTTTTTAAGATTTTATTTATTTATTTGACAGACAGAGATCACAAGTAGGCAGAGAGGCAGGCAGAGAGAGAGGTGGAGGCAGGCTCCCTGTGGAGCAGAGAGCCCGATGCGGGGCTCAATCCCAGGACCCTGGGATCATGACCTCAGCTGAAGGCAGCGGCTTAACCCACTGAGCCACCCAGGCACCCCTCTACATTCTTTTAAAGAAATCTTTGCCTATCCCAAGCTTAGGGAGACATTGCCCTAAGTTTTCTTCTGGAACGTTCAGGAGTGTTAGATAGCCGCCGCTCATCTGGAATGGAGTTTGGGGTGCGATGTAAGGCAGAGATCGAGATTCATCCATCCCGATGTCCAGCTAACACAGCATCTTCTGCTAAGGAGACCACGTCTTCCACTGCCTGCAGCCCCCCTCTGGCATAATCACAGGGCAGACATGACATGGACCCTGATGTCCATTTCCTGTGCCACTGTACCCAGTGCCACACAGAGGTGTCTGCAGCCAGGTGGGTAACTGAGCTGCTGTGCTGGGCTCTGGGGTCTGCCCTCCAGATGCTCGCTTGACCACAGAGGCCGCCGGTAGGGCCACTCCGTGGCCCTGGACTTGTCACTCTGTCCTGGCCTCACCACAGATTACATCCTCCATGGAGTCGGCGACCTTTTATTGTCAGGCTCACTCACAGCCATGTTCTAAAGGTGCCCGTGGTCCTCAAAGGCTTGGGATCTTTCACGCTCTCGAGGCCTCATCCAACGAGTGGGGCCGTGGAGGGCGCTTCCTTCCGGCTGCACCCGGGTGTCCACAGGGTACATTATGCCCCTGCAGGCAGCATGCTCCCCGTGGAGGACCTGCTCCCCCTGAAGAACATCCTCCGTGTCCACGGGGCAGGCATGGTTCCCATGCTCAGAAGCAGAGGGCCGGGCCATGGTGCCACAGACATTCTTCACGAAAGCAGCGGCAGGCCTACCCTGAGGCTGAGGGAAGACGTTTGGCCCCACACAGTCCACCCAGCGGGCTGCACGGCCCCACACTGGCTCCTGGGCTTGGGGTCAGCTCTGAGGCGCCCTCTCCAGGAACACCAGCTCCTCTCCCCAGGGCCACTGGGGTACCAGCCCGGTGCCCAGGATGGAGCCAGAGATCAGGACCCCTCTGACAATGGAGAATTGTGCCCCTGCCCCTGTGGGTTGAGAGGGAGGGGCCTGCTGGCGCTCTAGTCCATTGTTGGTGCTCAGGGCCCCACAGGCCACAGGGATGACCAACTCCAGCATCAGCCCTGGGCCACAACGGCTGTCCAGGCTGCTGGCAGGGAAGTGAGTGGGGATGGCCTCTGCAGGGAGCCTGGCCCATGCCTTGTCCACCATGCTCCCCTTATGCCCTTACGGATCCCAGAGCAGGGTGCAGGTCTCACCGCAGACCTGGGGTGGCCAAGTGAACCATCATCCCTGGGGGAGCAGCCGTGTGAGCAGCAAAGATGCAGCATTCTTTGAGGGAGGGGGTGTAGGTTCCAGGCACTTGGGGACTTGGGGCCCATCAGAGTCAGGTTTGGGCCCTAGGTGGGTGGAGGGTCCCATCTCTCTGGCTAGCGTACCAGACGCCCCCAGCATGATGGCACAGCACCATGTTCAGAGAACCTCAGGAGGGGCTACAGGGGCCCCCACACCCACCCAGACACTTGGCTGCTGTCATTTTGTTTAACGCATGACTCAGCCTGTTCAATGCCATCTGGAGAGCTGAGCGTCACACATACAATCCGACACTCCAGCAAAGCTGAAACTGTCATCCCCGCTAATTACCCCAGCCTGTGAAGTGAGGTTACTGATATTTCGTGCACTGCTGTGTATTCGGGGAAGATTAACCAAAACTAGTCAAAACACTAAATCACTAGGTGAGGTTCTTCAAAATAAGGCCCACCAGCCTGCTGCTGGGAGTGCTGGGGGAGGCCCCACGGGGAGCCAGGACTGAATTGGGGAGCTATTTGCACCCCCAAGTGAAGACACACGTTCATGTTTTTAGGTCAAGTCTAATTTTAATTAGCCGTGGCAGTGAATAAATTCCAGCTTTCAGAACCACTCAGGCCTGGTCCGCAGTGGCAGGCGGCTGCCACGACGCCCCCACAGGCCTTCCTCAGAGCTCGGGGTGGGTGCCATGCGGAGGAAGGTGTCTGTTGGAATCGGACCACCAAGACCCCACGTGTGTGTGTCTGTGTTTAATGAGCAAAGCAGCTTCCCTGGCTTCTCGTTCCAGTACAGGAAGCAATTATGCATTGTGTCCCTGACAGAACCCAGAGATCAAAGCTAAGGAAAATAAACCACCTTCATTGCACACGACTATAAACGGTCAGGCATAATGAGAACACTTACAGAAACAAATAAATACAAGGCAGGAGGGAACCAAGACTCCCCCAAGAAGGAACAGATGGAGCCCCACTGCTGCCACAGCCTGGAGAGCCCACAAGTCCCAAGCATGGAGCTTCCAGAACGCGCTGGCTGCTGGACCACAAGTGAAGGAGGCAGTGGAGCCACTAGCTGGGCAGACATGAGCGGTTCAAGGCATGCACGCAAAGCAACTCCTCGCCGGGGCCTTGTAACCGGTCAGCTGGCCACTGTTACCATCTAGTGACCCGCACTGGTTGGGAAACTGGCCAAGCTTCGGGAGGTGTGGGGGCTGCTGTGCTCCCGTGTGAGATCCACGGGCATGAGCACATGCATCATGTCTGCAGGCATGTAAAGGCATGCATGAGGGAGACAGCCCAGAGATGACACAGAACTGGTCACAAGTGCTCCTTCTGGGGAGGTGTCCAGGGGTGCTGGCCACATTGTCTGCCGCGAACATGTGGTCAGGGGATGCTGTGAAACAGGCCAGCATCAGAACATTCAGGGGCAACCTGGTTCTGCTGTTGTGCCTCACACCTGTGCTGGGGTGGGGAGTGGGTCCCCTGTGATCAGCTGCGGGGGAGCCAGCTGGAGGGTTGGGGTGCCTCCTTGGGAGACCACGGAAACCTGTGTGTGATCCTATGCTTTCTGAGCATGGGTATGAGCAGAGGGGATCTTCGGTTTCCGGGCCCAGGTGCCTGGAGCCTGCGGCCCGCAGAGAGCATCAGCGTGGCTGTTGCCAGCCCACAGGAACAGTAGGAGCTGGACAGGGTGGGAGGGTCCCAGTTCTGCTGCCCGACCCCCATGACCCCCAAGCAGCTGAGCTCAGCCGGGCCTGGGCTGCCCTGTGGCTCGCGGGCTGTTGAACTGGGTTGGCCTGTCCGCCCTGACCCAGAACCTCTAAACAGAATCAAGATTTAAACAGTCCCCAGATTAACTATCAAGTCCTACCAGGTCAGGAAGTGCTCGCATGTTCTGGTTGCACAACCCCCCCCCGCCCCCCTGCTCCTCCACATCCCCCCAGCGCCTCGCTGTAACAGCCACCCACCCCACCTGCAGGGAGCTACAGGAGGAGAGCGGTCTGACTGTGAACACGCTTCACAAGGTGGGCCACATCATGTTTGAGTTCGTGGGTGAGCCTGAGCTGATGGACGTGCACATTTTCTGCACAGAGAGTGTCCAGGGGACGCCTATGGAGAGCGACGGTGAGTGTGGGAGTCCATCCCTTCTCCCTACCCCAGCGGGCAAGGGGAAGCCAGGTCCAGGTCCCGGGATGAGGCGCTGCGCCAGCACCCAGCTCTAAGCCCTGTTCCTCTTCCACACAGTGACACAGCTGGGAGGACTGAACCCTAGAGCACGTCCAGTTCCTCACACAGATGTGCGTGGGGATCACTCACTGACGTTGTGATTGCAGCCCAGGTGGAACATGCGCGCTCTCTCCTTTCCACCCGCTACAGAAATGCGCCCTCAGTGGTTCCAGCTAGACCAGATCCCCTTTGCGGACATGTGGCCCGATGACAGCTACTGGTTTCCCCTTCTGCTTCAGAAGAAGAAATTCCAGGGATACTTCAAGTTCCAGGGTCCCAACACCATCCTGGACTACACGCTCCGCGAGGTGGACAAGCTGTAAAGGCAGGAGAACCCTGACCCCTGCGGGCTGCAGGACTCTCATCGCCCGCTCACTGAGCCCCAAGGCAGGGGTGGGGGGAGGTGGGCGGAGGTGAAAATAAAGACCCTTTGCCTTTTCCACACTCCTTGCAGACCCCGGTACAGCCAACCCAGGTCTGTCCTCGGGAAGCTGCCAGATGGCTGGCCATGACCACAGCCTGGGGCAGAGGGGACAGCTGGAGGGCTGGGCACTGCCTTGTGCCATGCCACAGGTTCTTGTTGGGACCCGTGTGGGCAAGAAGCTGTATCCTCCTTAGTCACCACCCTGACGTCATGGGGAAACTGAGGCAGTCATGGCCCAGGGCTAAAACCCTGGTCTAATTCACCAGAGGCTGTCCACCAGGAAGGGGGGAGGCAGAGAATGCACAACTTAGCAACTGTCATAAACAGGTTTAATGGTTGTTCGTGCTTACGTAAAAATCTTGGAATGTAGGCCATTTGTGAACAATTCCAGTTTACTGGGTGTAGTAATCACTGACCCTCACAGCCTCATAAAGTGCTCCGCACAGCAAACTGCATCCCTAAGGGGGTACAGAAGCAGCCCAGCACCAGTCCGTGCAGCCCTACACGCACCCACATCAGAGCCTGCGTCTTCTGCTCCTGCCACACATCTGCAGGCCACAGCAAGTGAGCGAGGTCCAGGCTGGAAGGTCCTGGGCAGAGTTCCACTCCAGCCTTGCCAGAGTGCAGAGCAGGGCTCTGGCCGGTGCCATCGGACTGTGCAGGCCATGGAAGACAAGGCCATCCCACTCTCCTGGGCAGCCTAGGCCTCCCAGGACATCACTGAGCAGAACAACCCAGGCCTGCAGCCCAGGCACAGGGGCACATGGAGGATGTGTGGACTAAAGGTGGCCTCTACTGTCCCCAGCTGAGGGCACCAGGAGGACATGACTCCCCCACCCCACCCCCAGCAAGTCTTATCTGTTGACCTCCCTGCAGGACCTGGGGAGGGAGGGGTTGGGCCAGAAACGCCCCTCCAGCCAAGAGCAGCAGGCCAGACTGGCTCCCACCTTCCACAGCAGGAACACAGAGTCGCCCGCAAGTCCTCTTCAGAAAGCACACTGCAAGGCTCTAGAGCTGGAAATCTCCTCGGACGTGGGTGAGGAGGCCCTCCCTGCACCGGCCCTCCCGCCTTCATGCTGCTGCCCAGCGCGTGTGAGGCAGGGCCTGCTCAGGGTGTCTCCATGGTCCTGGGGTGGCCCGTCCCTCACGGGCCAGGGCACGTGCGGGTGAGCAGCAGCTGGCAGAGACAGAACAGGAGACTTAAGGCTCCTGCTTTATGGCTCAAGTGTACATGAGGCTGTGGGAGCAGCCCTCAGGACCGCACAGACCCACTCACAGCACCCGAGAACCCGTTTCTACAGCGGGAGTCAGAACGCAAGCACCACCCAGAAACAGGCCAGTAACCAAAGCAGCTCCTGACGTGCTGGGCTCTGCAGGCACACTGCCCTGCTCCCTGTGAGCCCAGGAAGGCACAAGCCACCCTCACAAGGCCACGGGCTGGGAAGGGCACAACTGCCTTACCACCACCACCCCCCGCGCCCCCACAGCTGCTGTGCTGGCACAGGCAGGACCCATGCGTGGGGTGGGCCCGAGTCCCCACCTGACACAGTTGTCCGGCCAGACCAAAAGGACACGGTCCCCCAGACTGCGGTGTGCACAGTGCCCTCGGGGAAGCCCACCTGCCTGCGGGTACAGAAGTCACCCTCGGTCCCCATGCCGTGTGCAGACACACAGGCAGACGAGACCCAAGAGAAGCCCTGCACGTCTGCACGCACCCCCAGAAGGCGTGAATCTCAGGAATCCTGCCGTGCAGTCAGAACCTCCAGCCCCGCTCGGGACCAAGGACAGTGAGCTCAGAGGGCTGCGGACGTTAGAGGACGCGCCCTGCCTGCGGACACAGAAGGGATTCCAAACAGGAAACACCCAGGACCTCAACACACAGGAACCCCAGACTCCTGAACAGATGCCCTCTGGGCCTGTGCGTGCAGAGGGAGGCTAGAAGCAGGGGTCTGAACGCCCAGAGCAAATGAGGTCAGTTTAAAGCAGGTCAGCCATGGCAACATGGCCCCCTCCTGCCGAGCCCAGCTAGGACGCTGCCCCCACCCGCCGGCCTTCCTGTGCCCTTCCAGCCTCCAGGCTTAAGGTGCGGTCTGCAAAGAGGGGGGCATCCAGGCAGCCGAGAGAACAGAGCCATTGCTGCACTGGGACAAACAGAAGCAACAGTTCACCTTGTCTCCAACATTGTAGACCGCTGTGCACACACGGGTTACAGAATGAGGTGCACACAGGTAGGGACACAGGACACTTTCCCCAGAGACTAAGCCGCGGCCCCCACAGCACTCCCCCAGGCTTGTCTCTTGGAAATCAACACCATCTGTGCGCCCAGCGCCCCCCAAGTCCCCACCCCACACACACTCACACTGCCATGCCCACACCTTCCCAAGACGTCCTGCTGGCCTCCAGGGATATGCCCGGTACAGCCACCTTTCGTCCGACATAAGGACAGTCCTGCCCTCTGTGGGGCCAGCTCATCCAGACCCTCCCAACTGCTCTAAGCCCCTGGGGTCCCTGCACATGTCCCCCCAGCACCTGCCACATGGAAACTATCCCGCCGCCCTGCCCTCTGGGGATCAGAGAAAACCATTTCAGGGACCCTCTGCTTCTCCCAGACAGACTCACAGGCACCGTGTGGCAGGCGGGGGCGGGGGGGGAAGGGGTCAGGGGCAGTTGAGCAGATCCCAGTGGCCTCCGCCCTACTTTCCAACCCCACCCCCACCCGGCCCGGACATCAGCCCAACACCGGGGACCCTGTGGTGGGCGGGGGCAGCCACTGTCTGAAGGGAATTAAAGAGGGACACACCGTTTGGAAAGAGGTTTTAGTGAGGCCGCCGGAGCTCCCGCCCCAGGCCTCTGGAACTAGTGAGAAGACCTGCCGTCCTGCGGGGGCCCCGGCGGGAGCAGGGAGCTGCTGGGTCCCGCGAAGAGGCAGCTGAGCTTGGGCTGCAAGTCGTTCCACACCTTGCTCATCTGGAGGACGAGAGGGAGCACGGCGGGATGAGAAAGGCCACAAGCAGACGATCTCCGTAAAACCCCCGAGGAGCCCCAACATGGCCCATGTGGGGCCCTGGGCCACCTCCCCCAGCACCGCCAGACCAGGGGGCCACTGGCCCTTCCCTCGCCATCTCCACCCCTTCCTCCACTAGGGACGCCAAAACCAGAGGGAACCACACGCCCTGCATGCAGGCCAGAAGATGGGACCTGCCACCTTGACCACTCTGCCAGCACCGGCCCCTCAGGGTGGCGGGTCGCACATGAGGCCTCCACCAGAGGAACACACGAACGCGGGTGTGGGAGTCAGATGTGCGGCAGCCACCAGCTCACACTCCGGTATCCAGGTTGAGGAGCGGCTACCAGCAGCCCAGGGAGGAGGGAGGCTCGGAGCCCACTCCCCTGTGCAGGCCTTCCCCAGAGGGGACAAGCCCCTTCCTCTCTGGCCGCTGCATCAGGACCCTCGCCCAGGGACAGGGACACAGCAGTCCCAGACGCTTGCAGCCCATCGCCCTCCGCATCCCACGCCGATCTTAGAGGCGCACAGCACACGTTTTGGAAATGGAAACTTGCCACAGAGGGTAAATGGCACAGCCGAGTCATGGGGCCAGGCAGGGAGCCACAGACCTTGCCAAGTCTCCAGACAAGCAGAGCACCTGTTCCAAGCAATGCAGGAGCCGCCACCCAGAGGACGTGAACCGGGGTCTGTACCAACCCCTTGCCCTCTCTGCCCGATGTGTCCCATCTCTTCTCTCAATTCTGGAGACACTGTGCTTTACCCGACTCCACAATTCCTCCAGGAGAGGAGGAATGCTGCTTCCTTCATGGTCTCATGCTGCACCCCCCCAACCCCACGAATCAAGGGGACAACTCTGCCACTGCTGTTCAGGGTACGTGTAAGACAGTAGCTGTGACCAGACCTGTTTCCAGGTCCCGTGCTCCCCAGCTCGCGGCCCTTCCCTGGCAGTTCGCGAGGCCAGCTGCACAAATGCCAGGCTCCCAGGCAGAGCCCAGGCAGGCGCAGGGAGACCCACCTCCTTGTGCCCTTGGATCTGCGAGTTGACAAAGGCCCCGAGGATGTGGGAGGTGAGGGGCAGGTACGCGTGGACCAGCTGCGTCTCCTGGTGCAGGCAGTACAGGGAGAAGTAGCTCCGCAACTCCATGGTCTGGATGGCGTTCTCCTGCTGCACACACGAGCCACCCTTGCTCCCGGCCCCACGGACGCGAGGAGCGTCGCACCAACATGCCGCCAACACCCCCCCCCCCCCCCCGCGGCCCCCCCCCCTTCCCCGCAGCACAGCCGAGGCAAACTCCAAGCCACCTGCCCACCACAGCACCCCCTGGCTACACTGCTGGCTATGGCAGCCCCAGGCGGCAGCACTCTGGAAGCCCAAAGCCAGGCCCCAAAGTACCACTCCAGGGTCCAGCCAGGCTGGGCATGCAGCGGCCCCGTCAGGCCTGCTCACAGGCCACCCCATCCCCCATGCGAGAACCACCTCGACGATGCGGGACTCCAGCTGCTCCACCGACTCGGGCTCACGGCTCTGCACAGCAGCGCTCAGCATCTGCCTCTTCATCAGGCTGTACTTGTGCAGGGCACGCTGGTGCTTATGCAGCACACCCTTCTCGTGCCGTTCGCACAGGTCCTGGGGGGAGGGGCAGCTGCGCTCAACCACCGGCCAGAAGGGCCCTGGAGCCACCCTCCCTCCATGGGAGGCAGCGTGGAAAGGGGAACTACAGGAGGAGACACACGCTCCAAAGTCCGCGCTGTTCATGCATGAGCCCCTTCCTCTTCGGAAACCGCTCACACCACACCCACTCGCTCCATGCTCAGCAAGTGTTCGAGGAACAGAGCTGCTCGGGTGACAGGCCCGGGGTCGAACCAGGAGGGGCTGCAGCGCACATCAGTACCACAAACTAAAAACCCACAAGAAAAGGTCCTGTCCACAGGAGAGGATGGACAGGGACAATGGAAGGTGGACCGCCGACCTTCCCACTGCCCAGTGGCAGGAAGCCCATGTCCCTCCAGTAACAGAAAGACCCGTCTCCAAAAGGTACACTGGCATTCCCAGGGGTCTGAAATAGCCCCAGTCAGGAATCCTGTGGGAAACACTGGCCACAGAATGACAGTACTGTGATCTCAAGGTGATCTGACTACCATCCAACTTAATGGAGAGATCCCTTCTGGGACCTTCCTCAAAGTACTGGGCCCCTCTCCTTGAGCTCAGCACAAAGGATTCTCTGCTTCACAGACACTCCAGCCCATCACCAACACCACCCCGGTCCGGAAGCCAGCTCTGCATGGAGCCGGAGTCGGACTGCCCAGAACCTCTACCCCAGGAAGAGACAAGCTCCCTCAGCACCAGACCAGCCCCTCAGTTATGTGGTGGGAGCTACGACAGTCACACACACACACGCGCGCGCCCGCAGCATGCACGCTCACATGCCTACATGTACACATGTGCCTGCACAGTCACATGCACGTGTGTGCATGGAAGTGTGTGTATCCCCAGGTGCACACGTGCTCATACACATGCACGTGTGCGCACAGATGCATACATATACGCACACGTGCACACGGTCACATGCATGCATATACACTCATGCATACGCATGTGCACATGTACATACCCACACTCACACCTATACACACTCATACATAAACACAAATATATACACATGTTCACACACACGCATACACACTCGTGCACACCCTCATACACACACACATATATATGCACACACACACACAGCTCATACACGTGGATACATCCAAACATACACACAGGCATACATATATGCTCACACGCATGTGTGCACACACAGCCGCCACTCTCAGACCAAGGGAAGCCAGAGGACCATCTGCACACCTGCAGGGGCCACAGCCCAGAGCACCTGCAGAACCCACCAAGGGGCAGTAACACTGGCCAGACTGCCTACGGCCCATCCTCCCTCCACAGCCCTGGGTTCGCGGCACTTCATCCTCAGGAGTCACACCCATGAGAGACCATGGATCCTTCTCAATAGCTCTGTCTTTGCCCAAGGAGCAGCCAGACTCACTTTATACGACTGGAGCAAATCCAAGAAGAGGTTCAATTTCTCCACCACGTCATTCTCTTCCTGTTTGCCCTAGAAAACAAGGGTGGGTGACCACACCGAGCACCACAGGACCCACAGACCCATCCGTAGGCCTGAGCTGGCCAGGGGCCCCATCCGTAGGCCTGAGCTGGCTCTCCCCACCCCCAGCAGCCACCAGCCAGCTCTGCAGAAGAGCCCCCTTCCCACATGACGGCCCCCCAACACAAGGCAGGGAAGCCACAGAACCCTGCAGCTGGATGAAAACTACGGCCTCAGTTCCCAAGATCATCTGCCCACTGTGCTCACTGATACCATTCCTCCCAGCGTGCCAAAGCCAAGTACAGTTGGGGCTGGATTGGCTTCCTGAGAACCCTCCATACTAACACTGTGCTCACAGCCACATGTCCTGAAGGGCTCTAGCACAGCTCATGGCCCTCAGCCACCAGCACTTGCCAAGCACATCACCCGGGTGTTTGCTGAGCACCTTGCCTGGGTGTTTTGCTGAACACCTCCTAGGCATTCACCAAGTGCCTCTCTCAGGTGTATGGCGAGCACCTCACCTCTCCCAGGTACAATGTGGGCTCCTCAGAGAAATGAGCCCCTTTCACAACCTCTAGGGCTCCAGCAATGGCATGAAAAGTTCATCTCAGAAACCACACATCAGACCGTGTGTGTAGAGGGTAGAGCCAAAAGACAGAGAATGGGGAAAATGAGGATAAGTCTGACCAGGTTACAAGCACTGGCCTGGGAGCCAGGGGCTCCTGCCCAGGTTCTGCCACCAGGGGAACCAGGACTCACACCTGCTGAGCTCAGAGGTTCCAGGCCACTCATTCCCACACCTAAAGCCAAGACTAGCCAATAAGGTCACAGGAAAATAACAGGCATGTTCCAGGTTTTTTAAACTCAGAAAGGAAAACACCAGAGGTCCATAGGCACCCTGCTCCCTCCTGACTGGGTGGAGGGGCACAGGAGGATGGAGGTTCCCCGGCCTAGCAGCTGAGGGGCCATTCCTGCTCACATCACTAGCTAGGTCCCAGTTCTTGTCCAACGCCACACAAGACCCCAAACCACCATCCCATCAGTGTGGAAAAATACAGCCCACTGGGAGTCTCCATTGTCCCACTGGGATACAGCAACCTGGGGCCCCTAACAGGTCTAAGAAGAATAAAACCAGGGTATGTGGAAACAGAGTTAGGAAAACCAGCCCTCAGATGTCCATCCTCGTGCAGTGAGAGTGAACAGAACCTGAGCCGTGCTGGGTGAAAGTCCTGACGATCGTTTGATCCAGTTTCACATTAAAACTGTATTAATTTCACTCCAACATGAAAACCACGAGGAATAGTCAGGAAGTGGCACTTCCTCAGACATCACATTTCAAAGCAGCATCCAAGAGCTATCAGAGAATCTCAGAGCTTGGGGGCAGGGGGAGGGGGGGAGGTTCAAACTATGAACTTGAACCACATCAGAAGCCTGAACCCTCTCTCCCTCTTCAAAGGCAGAAACACAGCATCCAAATCTCAGCTGGAAAACACGGGAGATGACAGAGTTAGAGAAGTTTCTGTTCCGCGTGATGCCCGGAGATTCACGGCACACCCCTACGCGTTCCCCCACCCCCGCATGAGGCTACCCATTGAACTGGGAGCTGTGTGGGCCCAGGACCTAGGTCCTTGCAACCAGGACAGCTTCCATTTTAGATTTTAAAGTGAGCTTTGAGTAAAGTCCAGCAGGCTCCATAAAAAGTGTCTGAATGACCTCCTCCAGCCCTTGCATCGCCCAGACAGGGAAACAGGCCCAGGGAGCAACGGAACCCCAGCGCAGGCCCAGTACAGGACAGTGGCCGAGCGCGGAGCAGGCCGCCTCTCTCCACAGCTGCACCTCCAACAGCACGGCGCCAGTCCTCCCTGCGGTGCACACGTGGGCCCCTGGCAGGCCTGGACAGGGACCAGGCCCAGTGCCAATTCTGAGAAATGCCAACACCACCCTGCGCTCAGTTTCTAACGGGAACACACAGGCACCAGAACCACAAAGAAAACCCAGGACTTTCCATACCAACAATGAGATCAAATCTCCTTTTCGGCACTCCGAGACGTCCTGGGCCCGAGGGCCTCACCTCGAGCCTGAAAATCACCCAGCTTCACGGTCGGAGGGTCTGCTGCTGTCCCTGTGTCCTCTGGCCTGCTACTAAGGAGCTTCAAGCGTCACACAGGCAGCAAGGCCCTTCACAAGTACACCGTTTTCATCTATTTGAAACCATCTACTACCAGCCTAAAGTCCATCTCCCCAAGAACCAGGCTGCCAACGCTCACCCTCAGAGTCACGTAGCAGTTTTACAGCATAAACGCGTGCAGATGAGCCTCTCCGTCTGTCAGTAACCTCCGGACCTTGGCATCGATCCCCGAGGACCACACGGCCCCTGCGCGTGTGGCGGAAGCATTTCCGGAGGCTAACTGGGTCTCTAGGGTGAACGCAGGTGGGCTCTCTTGGGCTACTAGAGCTTACTAACTGTCCTGGTAAGTTATCGAGGAACCGAGTACTTGCTGACTAGCACAGCCAAGTGGGAACCACCTAGTCCACCCAGAAGCATCCGGGGAAGTCCTAGATTATGTTTTCAAGGACATCTTACAGCTTCTCATCTCAGCAAAGTCAACTCTCAAAGGGCCAGAACCCAGTCTGTCTTTGTCACGGGCAACCCTCTTCAGAGTGTCAAGGGCTCACAGGGAGGCCCTCAGAACAGGTGGTGACGTGCGGTTCCAACTGAGACCAGCACCCACTCACTCCAGACTCAGGACTCTGAAGTCTGCATAGGAAGCCAGGCCGGCGTCCATTCCCAAGGCATGGCCTGTTGGAACAGGCGCCAAGGAGAACAAGCTCACTCACCTGCTGGGCAGCTTTGTCAGCAAGCAGGGCAAACTCCACGGACAGGCCTCTCAGCGCCTGTTTAAGGGACCCCCACGTGCTGCTGTTCAGAGAGGCCCAGGAGGGCAGTGGGGTCGTGTCAGACCCCAAAGCACTAAGGGAACAAGAAACAGAGGAGACAAGATACTCAAGGACTGGGAGCCGAGCTGGCTATCCAGCCCAACGTGTCATCCCAGGGCACCCTCTACTCCACAAAAAGGGGTCCCCAGGGCCACCTGAGCATCTGCCAGAAAGGCAGGACATCAGCCACCCCCCCCCAGGCCTCCTGAACCAGTCCTGGTCAGCAAAGCCCCCCTCACCCCCCCGCCCAGGGGACAGGTATGCACACGAGGGTTTGGGAGGCAGACGTGTGTAGACTGAGGAGGAGGGCGTGGTCCTGGATGCCTGTCCCACCCACCCTCCACCCAGAGGAGCACGAACAGTCTGGTGTCCTTTTCTGGTCTAGTCCTGACAGCAGGGAAGACACCGTGTCACCTACATAGCACAGGCTTGTGTGTTCAGGGATCCACGCTTCCCTGCCTAAATTCCCCCATTTTTTTTTCTGCTAAATTCCATGATCCATTTCCCCAACCCTCTCCTTCACCTTCTAAAAGTGAAACAGGTCAGAACCGGTGTGGCTATGGTAAAACACCTTCTGCCCCGTGCGCTGCAGATCCCTCCCCCGACTGCCCTGCAGAACTGAGTGGGGCACCTGCCTCAGCTCCTTCCCGAATATGAGAAGGTCAGCAGCATTGTCGATGGCCCTGGACGCGATCCGCTCGGCCCGATCTCGAAGCTTGTGGAAGCTGTTGTAGATGTTCCGAATGAGTTCCCGGCTGACGGCAAACTGAGTCTGGATGTCGGCCGGGAGGAAGTCCTGGCAGGAAGGACAGCAAGGCTGTGGATTACAGGCTGTGAGGGGCCTTCTGGAGACGACGCCCTTCAGGACGGAGACGAAGCCCTCCAACGGAGCAGCTTGTCAGCCCAGACATCAGGCCACGTGGGGGCCTCCTAGGGCCTCCCTCGTTGTCCAAAAAAGAAACAGAAAGCATCATCATGCATACACCACAAACACCAAGCTGAGTGACCCCAGGAGATGGCAATACTAGCGTCCACCGAAAGCGGATCCAACCAGAGGTCCTGCCAGAATGTGCTCCAATGAGAACCTTCAAGCTCAAAGTGACGTGAATGAATCCTGACTTTAGGGGCCGCACTTTTCCCTCAAGGGGCGCTTTTTACCAGCTTTACTATTAACTACCCATTAGCGTTAACTAATGTTAACTCCGTAATGCTTAGAAAACAGAAACCTTAGGAAATGAAACAAAGATAAGAGTCCATATTTCCGCACGGAGAAGCAGTTTAAGAAGGAAAAGGAAAAAGCTACCCAGTAGCCACCTTAATTCTTTTTAGAGACAAAACAGATTTGCCAAATTTTACAATAAACCAACACAACAATCCCAAGCCCCCTGAAATCTGAGAGCCTGGTGACCCGGCAGGAGTCCACCTGGATCACAAAAAAGCCTCGAAGTGGCAGGAGAGCTGGGGGGCTCTGAGGCCAGACCGCATTCAGCCCCATCTGGGTCGGCTGCTAGGCGGGTCTGGGACCCTGGCAGCCTCTCGGGGCCATCTCCCCATCTGTGAAATGGGCAGGTCACGTGCTGTGCGTTGGAGCAGGTGAAAGGAGAGTCCATGAGAAAACCCGGCGGCGGGCCTCAGCACCATCCCCGGCATGTGGTGGAAGCAAGAGAGCATGACCGGGTCAAGTGGTCACTGCCAGGACTGGAGGGTGCGCATCACGACGAGAGAAGTACCTTGGCCCGGGGAGCCAGCTTACAGTTCATGAATTCATCTCCAACACACTGAGCTGATTCCTTTAACTTGTGCTGCACGTCCTGCAAAGGAAAACAGAAACAGCCCACATCTACCAGCTGCAGAACGGTCTGTGTGAGACCAAGGAGGCCAGCAGGAGGCAGGACGCAGACCCACCGCAAGAGGGCTGTTACATAGGCATCCCCAGAAGATCTCGTCACTATCTTCCCGGATTTCTTCCCATTGACCTTAACCTTTAAGTGGCCTTCCACAGATAGGAAAGCCTGGTGTAACCACACCAGCACCACGAAACCTCTGGCTCCAGAGGAAAGCTCTCTCTCCAGAAACACAGGAACTCCCATTTGCAGATCAGGGATGACCCCCGTGCCACAGCATCAGGTCCTGGTAGGTCCCGCCACATGGGGCACAGAGATGAGAGCTGAGGTCTCCTTCCTTCGGACAGACCCACAGGACGCAGCCCCACAGAGCCCCGGGAGGGCTGATGGGCAGCACACAGGCCTCCTCAGCAAAGCCACAGCTAAGACCAGGACCCACAAAGAGCCACGGGAAATACAGGAGAGAGCCTCATCTGCAGCTTTTTATGGGTCAGGGAATTTTAGAATTTCAGAGAAGCCTGGAGGATCATCTGTCCTAATCTCTCATTTTACCAGAGGAAATGGAGTCAGGGAGCTCTTAGGAACACCCTATCTGTGTGAGGAAGGGGTCAGAGGGGCCTCACGTCCCCAGCACAGGGATGCCGCCTGGCTCTGTGCCCAGTGCATGTGGCTCCCATGTCCCCCCACATTCCTCTCTGACAGTAAAGATTCCCGCGTGAAAGGAACCTGTCTGCCCGGGGTTCCAAGGCCCACACTCAGCTCAAGAGCAGATGGTCACAGCAAGCATTCATGGAATGTCTGCTTCACGTCCCAGAAAAGGGGCGGTGGTGACAGGTACCCCTAGGCAAGCAGCAGGAAAGCCTTCTCGAGGAGGTCCCAGGCCCCTCTGTCTCACGGGGTGTGTCTGCCTCTGCGCCTCCTCAACTGTGTCTAGCACCTTTCCCCAGTGGGAAAGGGTGGGACTGAGCCCCTCCCAGAAGGGGCTGCGGACAGTAGGGCCGTGGGCTGCTCCTGGCGGCTTTCCATACTGGGAAAGTACGCAAGAAGGGGCAAGAAGGGGTTCCCTCGGACAGAAGATGCCCCCGCTTATGCCCCCGGTACAGCGACCTTGCTGGAGCCCCTCCACCACCCCTACTCCAACCCCAGCCAGCGAGCAGACTGCTCTTGGGACAAGGCAGGACTTCCTCCCCAACTGGAAGGAAGGGCTCTGCCTTGCTTCCCAAGGCTAAGGAACGCTGCACAACAGCTGACAGACACAGCTGCTTGGTTTCTAACAGAAATTAACATCCATGTGGAGACGGTCTCCCAGGACGTGGTCTATCCTGCAGCTCTGTGAAAAGGACTCAGCTCAGTCTTCCAATGGCACGTCATCAAAGTGGCCTTATTTGCTTTCTGGGACACTGAGACTCATTGCAACCTGGGGTCTCCAGCACTTCCGTAACCCTCCCAAGCAAAGCCTTCAGTGAACGAGCCTCAGCGCCCACAGTGACGGCGCTCCGAATCTCCAAATCCTGCCAGGCCAAAGCCACGGATGCCTCCTGACACCACCTTCCCATTAACCGGGAAGAAAGGAAATCTCACTCGGGGCCGTCACGTGTGCCAGACTCCGTCAGGGCACCCACGCGAGGACAGCAAGACAAGCAAACTGAGTGTCGGGAAGCTGAGGCCCCACCCGGGACAGCAAAGTACTCACGGGACCACTAAAGGACAGGAACAGCCTAAGGGCCACGTCCTCGGAGAACGGAGGGTGCCGAGCCACCAGGTTGATGAAGCGCCTCAGCGCCCTTCGCCGGGCCTCGATGAACTCCCGGTCGGCTGCAGGCAGAGAGCACGGGCTCAGCAACGGGCTGGGCAGCCGCGCCATCCCAGCCCCCCACAAACACACCCCAGTAGGGAAAGCCGCCAGGAGCAGCAGGGCCCTGCTGTCCGCACCCACAGTGCTCCCCACCATGCAGACCGCCGACTGGCAAGATGGGCTCGGCTGCACCTGCCCGCTGGCCCGCACCGGCCTTCCCGGCACCCTGGCCTCCGGCGCCCCGACGTGTGGCACCCCGGCCTTACCTCCCAGCACTCTCTTGGGCGGCAGGGCCGGCACCATGCGATAGGGGAACTTCTGCAGCAGCATCTCATGGAAAACCACGAAGTCGTTGTACCGTCTGTACACGGAGGACTTGAAGCGCTGCAAGACCAGGGCTCTGTGCTTGGACTGGACACCAGAAACCGCCCCCGTGCGCCCCCGCCCCCGCCACCAACCAGAGCCACGGGAGCACTGTGGCTCAATACCCCCCACCCCGAATCTCACCAGACTCTACCGAGGACAAGCCCCATCCCCCCGGCAGAGCTCACACAACTGCCAACACTGCCCGGAGTGATCACTCTGTCCACCCACCCATGACCGGGCTCTCCTGAGGACTGCACACTTCTCACAAGGGTCTGCCCCAGCACAGCCGCCCCGCCCCCCACCCTTACAAGGCAGCACGTGCAAACAACGCCTTCTTCACTTCGTCCTGGAGGCACCCTCCCATACAGGGTCACACGGTGCAGGCGTGACAGGCACGACAGCCTCCTGGGAGAGCACTGGCTGTCACGGCAGACCAGACACTGCCCAGGAAGGCTGGACACGCAGACGTCCCATCCTGGACAGACCCGCGGGCTCCGTGCCAGCCAGCCCCCGCGCAGCAGAGGAGCCCACCCCAGCTCCACGTCAGAGCGCACATGACACACACGCACGAGCCACGGTCTGCAGGCTGTCTTGCTTGTAAGTGACGCAGCTCAGCGACAGACGCCTGTCTGATCCCGATGGCTGGGTGCTCCAGGGAATCAGAGCTGTGCACACAGGAGGGGAGGGCCAGCCGCCAGGGCTTCAGGGCAGAGGGATGGACGGTGGGACACAAGGACTTTCAGGGCCGTTAACACTGGGAGACGCCATCGGGTAACACCGGTCATCAGCGTCCAGACCCACAGAATGCACACCCACCCAGAGGGACCATGGCACCAATTGTGGTCTCTGGGTGATGACGACATGTCCGTGTGGGGCAGACTGTGACAGATGCCGTCTGCGGGACACGGATCATGGGGCAGCCCGTGGAGGAGCGGGGCTCAGGAGGTGGCCCGCACACAGCTGCCTCCTTGAGAAAATGTGCATCATGGGACAACAGACTTCCTGAAAGAACAGGAAAGGGCCAGCTGCTAGCGCCACACAGGGAGGGTAGCCCCCGCCACCCAGAGCCACCGCACCTGCAACAAGGCCCAGAGGGAGGAGATGTGCCCGCGCCCAGGGAAGCAGCACCCACACGCACCCTAGAACAAAGCTGATTCACAGACTTCAGCCTCTGTAGCTTGAAAACATCTTGACACACAAACCCTGTGACTGCAGACTCCCACAGCACACACACACAGCCATTCAGTTTGGAAAACGTGTTTCCTCCCTGGGATGACACGGACCCTTCCAACCGAAGCCCCACAATGGCCCAACGCTGTCATGCCAGCACAGCCCCACTCCACCTGTCCTGGTGCGTCCCCCGCTAACACAGTGGGACTCCACAAGCCCAACGATGCTGTCAGCTTATCGATGGCTTAATCCTCGGTTTCTGAACAAAAACTACCCCAGTATCTGATCTAACAGCACCAGGATATAGAAAGAGAATGCAGGGAAGCCTGGGGGGGGGTTCAGTCGGTTGAGCATCTGCCTTCAGCTCAGGTCATGATCCCAGGGTTCTGGGATTGAGTCCTGCATCGGGCTCCCTGCTCAGCAAGGAACCCACTTCTCTCTCTGCCTGCTGTTCACTCCTGCTCTCTCTCACTCTCTGGTAAATAAATAAATAAAATCTTTAAAAGAAAGAAAGAGAAAGAGAGAGAGAGAGAAAGAAAAGAGAGAAAGAAAGTTAGCACTGCGGATGCCATCCCGTCACCACACAGAAGAGCGGCCAGGTGCCCAGCACCTCCCTGACTCCAGTATCGGGGGCCCCTAAGAGCGCAGGCAGCGTCCCCAGTGGGGATAAGATGCATGGCAACCCTGCCCTCCAGACATGACCCGGAGCCCACACTCCACCCTCAAGGATGGAGTCAGGCCAGCCTGTGCCCCAGAGGCCAGCCTGTGCCCCAGAGGCGCTCCTCCAAGCAGCTTCCCAGACACAGGGCCAGGGAGGGCAGGATGAGCGAGCTGGGGCTGTGGCTGAGCCAGACGGAGACACCAGGACGCCCCAGCTGTGCAAACATCTGTCAGGCGGCTTGGCTCTCCACGCCCGGTGTCGGCTCTTCCCTCTAAGACCAACACACAGACTCCCTCGCGGCCCATCCCCCCCCACGTCACCCCCCCCCCCCCCCCGCCGCCCCCCCCCAGCGGGCACATGCCGCCTACCCCTCACCTGGCTGGAGACCTCGTATTCCACATGCTTCAGGAAGAGGCCCTTCTTCCCAGGAATGAGCTCCACCTGCACAGTGTCCCTGGCCAGCAGCTCCTGCAGGGTGCAGGACAGCAGCAGCGGGTTCCCCTGTGGCATCTGCATCCGACTGGGATGCGGGTCCCTCCGCTGGCTGACTTGGGGCGTGGGCGAGTCTGGACAAGAGATGGTAAATGGCCAATAAAAACAGCTGCTCGGAAAAGTGGAGGCTGCCCCCGGCCGGCCCTCCCACCACCGTGCGCTCCCTCAGCACCCGGACCGTGGCCATGTCACCCCCCTTCATTCAGGCCATGGAGCTTCTGCTCCTAAGAGTCGCCACCGTGAGGCATCCAGCCGACCAGGAGTCAGCAAATACACCCATGGATCCAAGACCAGTCAGACTGAGTTTTCAACTTGGACAGGAAAAAAGTGAGCTCTTTACGAGTTTCATGGAAAAGAGTCCGCCATTTCTCTACAGCCCAGAAAGAGGTTAAAACTGAAGCGCAAGATGTACAATTTCTCCGTCCCACCATTTCTACAGTGAACACCTATGACTCCGTGTGCCAAAAGAATCATTCCAATTCCATGCAGGCAAAAAACCCCCATGCTTGCTTAGAGCTAAGATTCCCAATCTCACAAGTCGAAGAATCACTCCGCTTCCCTACAGGCAGGAGCCGCCCACCCCTCACAGAACAGCCAGAGACGGAGCAGAGAGATCACAGGCTAACAAACAAGGAAGTCATGTTAAAAAGCCAGTTTGGTTTTTAGTACAGCAAGTTCTTAAGAAACAAAGTTCTTTTGGGTTAAAAAACATAGTAAAGTTAAGGTACCCCACAGAGGGGGAGGGGGTCCTCCTCTAGCCAACACTACTGTAAGTAACCGCAACAAAATGTAGATTTCTTTCCTCTTTTTTCCAAATTTCCACAACTTGGTTGTATCATTTTTCATGATTTCCTTCTTAAAACAACACTTCAAAGTAAGAGTATGGCTTCTATTCTAAACAGAATTAAAGACTAGATTATCTTCATCCGTGAAATTACTCAGCATTTTAGAATTGAAAATGTAGTTGCCTTTAATTGACCTTAAAGATTAAAGAAAGAAAATAAACTACGGCCTTAATGCTTACTTGAGAACCCCAAGGGCCTCATAAAAACTTCACACACAAGCTCAGTATTATGTGCTCTAAAGCAGAAAGCCCCCCCCCCCCCCCGAGTGCGGCCACATACCCCAGGGCACAAGGAGAAAACAGAAGCAATTCTAGTTGTATTTCCAGCTCTCCTTCCACAACGTGACACTCCTGTGACAGCAATACAACACACGTGATGCAGGACAGCCATACACATAACTTCCTAAACAAGTATTGTATGCATGTGCACGCATACGTGTGCGTGAGCATGTAGAGGAGCATGGTATGTGTGTGCGTATGTGAGCATGTGTGTGCACGTGTCTGAGTGTGTGTACGTGGATGTATGTGTGTTCATGAGTGTGACTGTGTGTATATGGGGGTGGTACGTGTATACAGTGTATGTGCGAGTGTATACAAGTGTGAGGTATGTGGGTATGTATGTACGCAGCTGTGTACGTGTGTGTGCATGAGCATTTAAGTAGACGAGTATATGGGGTGTGTATGTGTATAAGTGTGAATGTGCAAGTGTGTCTGTGCATACAAGCATGGTTGTGCGTGTGTATGTCATGCGTGTGCACGTGCGTGTGTACATGTGTGTATATATTAAGAGTCCCCAATATCTTAATGGCCAAAATGTGGAGACCACAGCTCCAGAAGATTCTCTCATCCTAAGAACCCAGCCCCTTTCCGTGTAAAAATATTTTGCTGGCCTTAAACTGTTTACCCACTCTCTTCAGGGACCACATGTCCTCTCAGTCAAGGAGCCAACAAGTGTTTCTCAAGTGCCCACTCGACAACAGTAACGAACACTGCAGGCTCACTGAGCTCACTAATACGCATTCCGTACACGGCTATGGACGGTCCCCAAGGCCGGGCACAGTCCGCGAGGATCCAAACTCCAGGGCAAATGGGAATCCCACTGTGACCTAACTTTAACAACACCCTGATCATGAGAAAGGGGGCCCAGACGCCACGTCTGAGCACAAGCTCCAGGGGATACATCCCTGCTGCTTGCGGGGTGAGGGTTGGCACAAAGAAGGGCCTCAAAGAAAGCTTGTCAAATGACTGACTGCCGCTATTTACTGCATTTTCAGGAATGAAAAGCAGCATGTCTGGGAAAAACAAAGTTTTGTGTAATCAGAGCACAGAATATGTGGACAGACAGGAAAAATGAAGTCAAAAGGTACCAGGGGAAGAACATTTTTATCAGAGAAGAGATATGCAAATACCTATATCTGAAAGGAAACTTATGCCTGGAATACATAAAGAACTCTGACGACACAGTAAAAATAAAAGACAGACACACAACCCAATTTAAAAATGGGCCAAGGATTTGCATAAACATTCCTCCCAAGGTATACCAGTGGCCACTAAGCACATAAAAAGATGCTCCAACATCCCAGACCGTCATGGAAATGCAAATCACATTCATGGTAAGATACCACCCACTGTGACAGCTCTCATCTAAAAGAAAAGAAAGACAAGGACTAGTGAGCACTGGCCAGGATGCGGAAAAGCCTCACACATGCTGGTGGAAGCCGTCTTCCAGAACAGCCCGGCACGTCCACACAGCGTGAGAGGCAGAGCCCCCGTGTGAGCCCACAGTCCCACCGGCAGAAATACCCCCGAGAGGTGAACGCGGATGTCCACACAGACACCTGCAAACAAAGTCCACAGGAGCCAGAGAGCAGAGAAACCCAACTGGCCACCAACTGTCCAGGAATAAACTGAAGTGGGTGGCTTATCCGAAAGGACTACTTGTCTGCTGTACGAAGGGATGCAGGACAGATTCACGCTACAAGACAGACAGACCTGGAAACACAATGGTGGAAGAAGCCAGACACAAGAACCACGTACGGGATGAGTCCATGCAAAGTACAGAAACAAAGTGGACAGGCGCCCACCTGGGGGTGGGGAGCAGCGATGGGAGAACTGGGAAGTGAGGACTGGAAAATAAGGGGTTTCTTTGGGGGTTGATAAGATGCTCCCGAGTTGTTCCCGTCAAGGGTGCACCGCCCGTAAACACGCCAATACCGCTATGTTGTACAGTCAGCGTGACCACAGCGTATGGAACACAAACGAAAACTAGGAACACCGTACGCGTAGAAGGTGGGCGACTCCAGTAAGTGGCAGAAGTAAGAACCTCCGAAAATCCTTCCTTCGAGAGAAACAAAAATGGTCAGAACTCGCGTTTTCAGAACACAGGAAACTGAAGATGTGTGGCAAGCCAGGGTGTAGTATTGATGCGATGATTACTTAAGTCAAAACAAGGCCATGCTGGGGGCACCCGGGTGGCTCAGTTGGGTAACCATCTGCCTTCTGATCAGGTCATGATCTCAGGCTCCTGGGATTGAGCCCCACATTGGGCTCCCTGCTCAGCAGGGAGCCTGCTTCTCCCCCTGCCTCTGCCCTTCCCCCTGCTCATGCTTGCATTCTCTCCCTCGAGAAAATAAATAAAATCTTTCATAAAAGAAAAAAAAAATGAGGCCACACTGGAATAGGGCAGGCTCTCACTCCATTGTGACTAGAGTCCTCATAAGACAAGGGAGGACCACAGGAGGCCCCAGAGACCCCCAACACACAGGGGTGGGCACATGACAGCAGAGGCAGAGACTGAAGCCACGTGGCCACAAACCAAGAAGCTGGAGGGTGGCCCATGGCAGCCAGATGCTGGAAGGGGCAGGAAGTACTCTCCGCTGTGGGCTGGGAGCGCACGCAGCCCTGCCCACACCCGGATCTCAGACTTCCTACCTCCAGGGCCGTGAGACGTTTCTGCTGCTTCAAGCCACCTAGTTTGTGCTTTGTCACGGCAGCCACACAACACTCACAACAGACTTTACGAGAATTAGTTCAGAGGGGTCGTTTAAAAAAGTCAACAATATGCAGCAACACCTTGGGGAGGGAGGAAAATCTGATTTCCAGAGTTGCCACATTATATTATTTAAACCATCCAGGTAACAACGAAAGTTTGTAAGACATGCAAAGAAATGAGACAGGATGGCCAAACACAAGGAAAAAACCTCCACCAGAAACTGTCCTCGAGGAGGACCAGGCACTGAACTCATTTGACAGAGACTGTAGGTCAGCTCTTAGAAATAGGTTCCAAGAACTAACGGGAACCATCTCTAAAGAACCAAGGGAAAGTAGGAGAACCATGTCTCAGCAACAGAAAATACTGATTTAAAAAGTTGTGCAAGAGAGGCAGATAGAAATTCTGCATTGGAGAAGCTCAATAAATGAAATGAAAAATTCACTAGAGGGATGCAACTGCAGATCCGACAGGGCAGAGGGGAAGATAGGCCAACAGAGATTGTCTAGTCCAGAGGACAGAAAGGAGAGCAAATGAGGAAGATGGACAGACCCTCAGAGACCTGTCAAGCACACCAACATCACCATCATCAGGGGCCCCAAAGCAGAAAGGCTCAGAACAAATATTTGAAGGAATTGCCAAAATTTTCCAAAATTTGATTTTTAAAATCCCAGAACCCATGAGGCACCTGGGTGGCTCAGTCAGTTAAGCATCCGACTGTAGGGTTTCAGCTCAAGTCATGATCTTGGAGTTGTAAGATCAAGCCCCATGTCAGGCTCCACACTCAGTGCAGAGACTCCTTGGGATTCCTTCCCTCTCCCTCCCCCATCCCTCCCCGCCCCTGTGTGCACATGCACATGCTCACACTCTCTCTCTCTCTCAAATAAATAAATAAAATCTCCCCCCAAAAATCGAAGAATCCAAAAAACTCCAACTAAGATAAACTCGGGAAGATTCACAACTAGACAGATCAGAACTGCACTGTTCAAACCATCCAGAGACAAAGAGAAACCTGAAAGCACTGGGAGATCAGCAAGTGGGTAGCTCACTCCTCAGAAGCCGCAGAGGCCACAAGGCAGTGAGATGGCACAAAGTGCCAGAGGACATAACGGTCAACCCTATTCTACAGCCAGGAAAACCATCCTTCCAGAATGGAGAAGAAATTAAGACAGCCCCAGAAGAGCAAAAACGGCAAATTTACCTTGGCACCAGCAGCCCTTCCTTGCAAGAAACAAATCCAC